AAAAGGGTGCTGTGGGACTTTGAAGTCACCAAGTGCACAGACCATAAGAATTACATTTTTACCATTTTGAATATACATATTTACATGTTAATCTATGCTTTTGGACTGGAGTAAGAAGGATGTGTAATTTTACTTTATGTTTGATAATTATATGACGAAGACTATTTTGAGGTCTGGAAAATAATATCAAGCTCAATAATCATTTACTAAAGCATGCTGCTGTTTAATAATGGACCAAATGCACAAGCCTCTGGAATCCCCTGCCTGTCAGCTCAAAGCACAGTCAAGCACTGGTAAACTATAAAAAAAAACTTGGCCAGAACAGTAATCATGACACCAACATTATTTGTGTACTTTAGTCAATGATTTAAACATTTGGTGTCCTTGTTTGTGTGTGTGTGTGTGTGTGTGTGTGTGTGTGTTGTCATGGATGCTTGTTTTTGCTTATTCTATTTACTGATATAACTATTTTAAACTAAATCCTTTCTTATATTACAAAGATCTATCTAGGGACTTGTTTGGGAAGTTAGCTCTGCCAACAGCCTCCTCTATGGTTCACCTGCAAAAATTCTCAACAAACTTCAATACATCCAGAACTCCGCCACCCGTCTACTCACCCACACCCGAATCCGTGAACACATCAAGCTCCACTGGCTCCCCATCCCCCAGAGAATTCAGTACAAAATCCTCCTAATGACATACAAAGCCCTCCATAACCTGGCCCCATCCTACCTAACTGACCTCCTCCACAGACACACTCCCACTCGCTCCCTCCCCACCCGGACCAACCTCAAGTCCTGGGGCGGCAGAGCCTTCTCCGTTGCTGCACCCACCCTCTGGAACTCACTACCCCAATCCATCAGAGATTCTTCCTCCCTCACAGCATTCAAAACATCACTCAAAACCCACCTGTTCAACACTGCATTCAACCACTGACCACCCCCCCCCCCCCCCTATTTTCTGTTTTGTTTATCTCTTTTTGTATTTTTTTTTATTTTTTATTCTCTGTCAAAGCGTCTGAGTTTCCTGAAAAGCGCTATACAAATCTCATGTATTATTATTATTAAATAAACAAATACATACAATCCAAACTGTCTGATCTACATCAGTAGTCAGTAAACCTCATACCTGCTGCCAGAACACAGAGGGATGTGTTTGGTCATGCCCTAATGAGTAACTACCTCAACTGAGGACTACAAGCAAAAACACAGACACTCCCACACTGAGTGGATTACAATACGTAGGAGGTATTTTAGAGCCAGATCAAGGTTGTATCATCTCTTTCTGCTCTGGTCTATATTTACCTGAGCTGACAAATACAACTTTCATGTTTGTTTATGGAGTTGGCCGTTATCTTGGTCACCCTCAGTCACAACTGTAGTCTTATATTTACACTGGGATATCATGGTTAGTAATTCAGTCTTTTAACTTTATTTTATAGGCATTTTCTAAAAATAACCTAAAAAAAAGCACTTGCTGTTAATTGTTAAAAATGTGGGTAAACCTAGCTAGTAGAAAAGTATATTGGTAATTGCATGGCTTTTATTGTAAAACAAAACCATTAAATAGGCTTCGCCATAGAGTTAGGTGACATTAAACAACATAGTATAAGCAGCATTAGTGCATTGAATTGGAACATATTTGAATTGTTTCTCTGTTTCCAGCCCCTGACAGCATGAAATAACACTTGTGATTGCTTAGTGACAGCCAAGAGTTGCTTTATGCACTTTACTTTAAAAAAGAAAAAAAAGAAAGGGGTGCACAAAACACGCACAGTGGACATTGGTACCGATTAAGTGACATGATAGCAACAGTAGGACACAGTAAACACACTTTACAGACAATGTTCCGGTAGATATGTACAGATATTGATTGTATGCTCCATAGGTTTAATAGAGGGCTTTTAGAAGGCAGGATCCAGGCTCAATAATAGCAGAGTAAAGGAAAGCACACAGTAAAAGGGATGAAGGTGAATGGTAAACACTAGCCTTGAGTGAACACTGAAAATTGAAGGACTATATTTTTATAGTCATTGAACATCCATTAAACATGAAATCAATACCATGATCAATATTGGTTTATGTGTGAGTAACTCGAGATACGTGTCAACGCTTCCTGTCATACCACCCACAGCTTTCTTTATGTGTCAACATGGATAGATGGCTATAAGCCGACTGTGCAATGAGTACTTTCTGCGTCATGTTCCCTTTACTGTATTGACAAACTAAGGTTACAGTATTAATCCAGTAAATAAAAAGGCCACAGCAGTGTGGCAAAGTCCAGCGGATGTGATTGATTTTTGATCAGTCTTTCTGTCCATTAAGATCTATAACAGTCATTCCAGTTTCTAAATGAGCGGACTACGAGGTTTCGTACCAGCAGTATTTTTTACGTGTATTTCAGTTCCAGTTTCTGGGCAGGTTGTCGAGGATCCTGCGCCGATGTGAAGGGTTTGTCACTCCTGCGGCGCGTAAATCCTCCTCAGTGATACCACTGCAGGGGGGAAAATGGCACAAAATCAAACCTGACTGAAACTTCAATAGTTAATTACTTAGTTCGTAAGGTTCCTGTAATCATGACCAGATTTATTTCCACATTTGTGCCTCAGTTAGGCTCTAACCGACATGTTCAGTCATCCTGACATGTTCAGTCATCTTACTTAAAATGAGCATGACTGCAACATGCACGCAGATCATTTGACCAGGCCTACAAGTGACTATTGCAAGTGTCTCATTACCACTGAGGTTATCTGTACGGACAAACACATCTTGCTCTGAGTAGTCACAGCCAGCCACAATATTTGTGTCTGAAGGTGAAATGCAGTAAATAGCCTACTTAAGTACAGCTTGGGAAACACGTTATCAGAAACAATTGTACCTGAAGTAATCCAGATCATCCCAGCCATTGAGGCTGAGTCCCAGGGTGTATTTCTGGAGACCCAGAGCGCTGAGAAGCTCCCGCACGGTTTCTGGTGCACATTGGAGGACCGAGACCTGCGTGGAGAAAGCAGACAGAAGTTTTACAGAGAACAAGCCACGTCTTTTAAAAAAACTGTCTTAGAGAATATTGACCTACTTCTTTCTCCCAGCTGTAGCCTCTATCTCCATGCATAGAAGGTCCATTCCTATAATTTGGCCTATGGTTGAGTATAGATGGGCCTCTCTGCATAGGGGGGAAGAAGTCAACTTCGCTGAGGGACTTGGCCATCTGCAGAGCAGTGAGCGAGTTGTCTCCTGAAGGTCCAGGCGGTTGCTGATCCACTATCCAGGGTACAGAGGCCTGAGAGTGTGCTGAGGCAGGGGGGGTGTAGGGGAACGCTGACGGCACCTTGGAGGCCCGGATAGGACTGGTTCTCTCTGGGAGAAGCTGATGATGATCCCTTCTGGTTTTTTCCCTGATGATTGCTGATTGGTTCATATACAAGTTCCTCAGGTTCTTGTCTGGCAGTACGGTGTCTTGAACGTTTTTCTTACATTGGTATTTGTCTCTGGGTTGTGAGGTCTGTTCCTGGTACTGTGACATGGTGTTGCCTGAGGGTGGAGGTATGGGAGATGGGGTCTTGGCTGGGAAGAGCTGATAGGAGGAGTTGGTTTGGGGTGTATGATGGTCAGTGGTTGGAGTGTACTGGGGTGGGATGGCTGGAATTTCAATCTCTGTAAAGTCTGATCTGCGACAGGGTCTTCTGTCGAAGCCCTGACGTCCTGAGATTTTTGGGAGCTGCAAGGCCTCATTTCCAGACCAGATGACCTGAGGGTCCCTCAGCTGAGGGAGAGCCTCCTCCACCTTGCGTGTCACTGACACACCTTCAAAGATGAAGTAGGCTGGGTTGGTGTAGCTGCTTGCAGTGAGTTTAGGAGGAACTGCCAAAGACCTGCAATGAAAATTAATACTTTTAGAATGTTTACGATTGAGTGTTTTTGTACTAAATGTGACCTCTATTCTCAATGAATGTCTTTGCATTATTTTTGTTATCTTCTCTGTAGTGATCATATAAAAAGTGTCACTGTGATAAAAAATTGATTTGGGCATGTGGCTTGAGTTACAGATGGAAGATGAAATACAATCAAAGAGTCATGCTTGAGTCATACGGCCATGATTTTAACACTACACACCAGCGTAGAAAAAAACAATGTTAACTTGAAAAACCATTAAAAGTTTGTGGTATAGTTTTGGAAATATATATTGTAACTATATTCATAGGATTTAGGAACTGAGGATTCTTTAAAAAGTGAGTCTATCTCACTCAAGTCTAGCTTGGGTCAGTGCCATTTAACACTGATAGTGGTGGCTGTGGCTTGGGGGGAGGGTAAGTGGGTGCCTACCAGGAGGTCAGTTGTTTGATCCCAAGCCCTTGCAATCAACATGTCAAAGTCTCCTTGGGCAAGATTCTAAACACCACATTGCTCCAGAAGGTCTAGGGTACTCAAGGGTATGTAAGTTGTGGGAAGTTTTAAAAAAAAACTTGGGAGAACTTTTCCTTGAGAGGCGTTCTGCTGCCTTACCCTGATGCTCAGAAACATTAAGAGGTGCTCACCTGTTTATTGGGACACGTGTAGATGCAGGAGACATGTGTCCTCTGGCAAGACCTTTGTCATTTTTCTCAAAGGAGAACCACTCTGAAAAAAGTCAAATCAGAGGAAATAAACACATTTCATAATCAGCCACACTTCCTTAAAGTCTGTTTGATGCCTGTAGGGCAAGGCCATGCCAGTTGCCAATCACACAGCATGGTGATGTTTGTTGGAGGGTCTGACCTGGTGACATACTTTCAACCTGCCCTGTCTCACTGTCTCAGGATGCATCTGTTCAGTGTCAGTCAATCAGGAGCCAAAAGAGGAAGCGTTCGAAAGACCAGCAAGGATAAAGTCAGGCCAGGGGTTATTAGGAAACCAAATAGAGGAAGCAATGGGAGACTCACGGGGGAGTCAAAGAAGTCAGGGACAGTGCAGATGACAGTTTAGTGGGAAGTGATAGTGCAAGCATAGCAGAGGGTAGGAGAGGTTCAGGTTGACGCACCATAGGTCTTCTCCCGTGTTCCCCGTCTCTCCTTGGGCACATGAACCCTGACGCGTCCTCTTATCGAACCCATCTCCTCACCTCGGTGACTCAAAAAGGTCTCGAACTGCTCAGAAGCACCGGTGAGTGAACGCAGAGCCACACAGCATTCCCCTATAAAACAACATTTATAGATTATTTATAAGATCAATATGACATTTCACACTGAAACAAAATGTAGAGTGCAATCTATTCTAGATGGTTGAGCGGGATTTTCTTAGACCTTGACTGACTGTTGTTAAACTACATTGAAGGTCAATCAAATTTGATTTGGAGCACTAAATCATATCTTTATATACAACACTTAGTGCCTCAAAATACAGTATTCCATCCACTTTAATCTGAACATTTCCTGCTTCTCGTATAGATGAAAAAACTCTCGGTAGGAAAAGTGATTTAAACCTTTAACAAATCAATGTGCCATTTTGAAAGATATTCAATACAACGTTTTGGAGGTCAAGTTTAAATTAAATTAGCCAAATGTATCAAAATCTAATTAAAATGTCTAAAATAATAGATAGCAATTGTGATAAGAGTGATAAAATAAGACAATTTCATGTTATGAGTTTTAGACAAAATGAATTTGCCGTGACCAACCGTATGACTCAAATCCGTCACATGACTTGACAGACAACAGCAGGTGCTGGTCCTGAAGATACTCCATGTCAGACTTGATTGGAAAAAGCTATGACAGACATAAAAACATCAAGGTAAGACATTGATTTAAAAAACAAACAAATATTTTAAGCCGTTTCCAAATGAGTCTCTAACCTTTGGCAGTTGTTTGAAGGACCAGCCCAGTTTAAGAAATCTGGGAACATCACAGCTCTGTGAGTCATTCTCACTTGATCGCCGTGTATCTGCGAAGAAGACAGGAAGGAATCTTTGCCACTGTGATGCATAATGGCTTTTCTATTTAAAAAAAACATTGTAACCATACCTTCGATGCAAGGAGAATGAAAATCAATGAAGAATTTGGCCTTGCTTGCCGTCTTCACAATGGCCTCGATGCCTTCAAGCTCTATCCAGGCCCTCTCCACGCCTGACTTTGTTTCTGTGCGAGACAAAGGCAGAACAACACTGTTCACTTGATGAAGGGGTTGAATCATAATCTCTCTGTTTGTGTCCAAAAGGCAACAACAATGACAGCACCTGTTTTGGAGCTGAACTGTGACGTGACTCCCACTTGGAACGTGGCAAAAACAGGAGAGTGATCGCTGGTGAATATGTCATCCGTGCAACCTGGTGGGACACAAATAGAACTTTATTATGAGAATTGTAATCAAAACACTCACAATATCTGATATGTATTATAGCTAAGCATGAGAGGATATTAAAATGCACATGTCGTAAATAGATAAGCCAAATAATTGTGATTCCTAATTCTGAGTATTTTTAATTCCTCACAGATTTGACAAAATCCTTTTTAGTTGAAAAACAAACAATCCAACCAAATGTGATAACAATAAATCATAAGTTATCCCTGCATATATACTGTATTAATGTTCTTTCTTACAAAATACTTTCTGTTTCTTTAAAATCAGGGTCCATTTTTTACACCCTTACTGTAACCACGAGATAGACAGCATTTTCAAGTCACTAATGTAAGGGTGTTAAAGATTATCCTGAAAATGAAAATGTATTTTAAGCACTATTGTGCTAGTGATACATTTCTATATAGTCGCATCTGTAACTAAAATCATATAAATTGCAAAGTACTGTAAGGCAGATAAGCTGTCAGCCATCCTGTTTTTCACAAAATGTGACAAATGGGGATACAAGTACTTTTGCTACTATGCAGGAGTTTTAAAGTTTTCATAGTTTTCTGAGGTTGGAGACAGAAGCTCGGGCAGAATGAGAGGAAATGACTGTGTTCCTCCATGGACCATTACATTACATTGCATTTAGCTGACGCTTTTATCCAAAGCCACTTACAATAAGTGCGTTCGACCAACAAAATACAAACTTGAAGAAAACAGAATCATATAAGTACATCAGGTTTCATAAAGCAAAAACATTTCAAGTGCTACTCAACTGGCTTTAGGTAAGCCAGCCCTTTATTAGACCACAGACCAGGATGTAGGGTTTGACCGTTGTTCTTTTAGGGTTGCTCTCAATTTGCAGTGGTACAAATAAAGAATGACCACAGATATCTAATTCGAGAGTGCTGCATCAAAATCTTTAGCTATGTCTAGACCTGTGCGCACTGATATCTGATGCACTTAGGTTATGCATGACTTAACTATTTACTTTTATATTAAAGCTTATCTGAGCTTGTTTTGTCCCATTCTCCAGGTCTTACCATACGCTGTGCAGAAGATGTGTGTCTCTGGGTAAGACTTCCACAGAATTCGATCACACCACGATGGCACATTGACTCGTACCTACAGGAACAGATTCAGCTATAAAACACCAATGTATTGTACAACAAATAAAATTGCCAGATGTAGAAATGGTATGCAAGGAATGGTGCTTTCATTCCTGTTATGTCAGACGTATCTTTTTTTTGACTACAGCTATTTTTAGGGATCATGGCAGCTGCTGTCAGTCACCTCTCTCTACAGATCTCTTAAATTAGATCAAGTTACACATAAAAATATCTTGAGGCAACTGTTTACGAATTGTAGAATTTAAACATTAGTTGTTCTTTGCTGGTATAGAATAAATTGTATATTTAGCATCACAGTCTAAAATCCTTTTGCTTTGTTTTAACTGGATATTAGCTTATCACGCTATTATGTTAAAGACATTGTGCTGCCATTGTATGGACACACTTACCGTCCTTTATAAAACAATAGACACACACAATAATTATGTTTTAAATTGATAAAAGAAACATTCAATCATTTGAAAACTCATGAGTTGTTCTTCATCGGGAACTTATTATAAACAAGTAAAAAGTTGTTAAGAAATATCAGTCGGGACCAAAAAGACAGACTAACAAATGGCTTCAAATCTAAAATCCTTGAATAGTTTATGGCTTGTGTGTCCAGACATTTTGCGTCGACTACTCAGAGGTGCGGATGTAGCTTTTATTATAGGCGTCTGTTCTCTTTCCTGAAGCTTAAATATTTTTTGATGGACATGTCATCCTGTTTTTCTGTGTTGCGTTTGTGTTAAAAGAAAATGACTCACTCCTGAAGTTTTGTACTTTTGCCAAAGGTAGCAGTCTCTGGAGCCCCGCTCATACCGGTAGGTGGGTGGGAATGCAATCTTCTCTTCCTCTTAACCACGATAAACAGGGATAGAGAGAACAAAGTCAGGTAAGCCAAAGTAGAGCCGACACAAAAAATGGCACTTATCAACATATGATTAATTATGGAATTGCAAATAGCTTTAAAGAGCATTATATATTTTAATAAAGAACAATGGCAAATTGCAAAGGGAAAACTCACTGAAATTGAGAAAGGACTTCCTCTTGTGTCTCTCTCGGGTCAGCTGGTCTGCACACATGAGATCCTCAAACTCCCTCTTAGAAACATGTTTCAGGATGTCCTAAAGTGAGGAACAGAAAGAAGCAGTTACATTAATGTCTGGGGATTTTTTAATAATACACCTTACACTAAAGTGGGGCATTGTGCATAATGACTCCTATTATTATTGACAATTCAAGTCAGTGATCTCCAAAAGAGGATCTGTGACAAAGGCTCCTCTGAGTTACTGCAGGGGTGCTGCCAAATTATGGTTTGATAATGTTTTAAAAACACATAACATTTACATAAATCCAACATATTATGCAATCTAGCAAAGGTAAATCGACATTGATAATAGGCTTACTGTTGCCCATGTGTTGTGTGGAATCCTTTAAACTAGCTTATTTATGCAAAATCACTTTGTGTCACCTATCCACAATGGAAAGCTAGTTAGATGGATACATTCAGTTTTATTATTTTAATGGCAGAGAATGTAATGCACCATAAAACTATATATTTACAGATTACAATTTAGGTCGCCTCACTTATTATTATATTACAGCTTAGTGATCCTTAGTCAAGGCAAGGCAAGGCAAGTTTATTTATATAGCACTTTTCAACACAAGGCAATTCAAAGTGCTTTACAAAAAATGAAAGAGATTAAGAAAATGGCATTTAAAATCAGTCATTAAAAGAAAAGCTAATAAAATAAACATTAAAAGAAAAGAAAAAAAAAAAAATACATGGCAGTCAATTAAACATTAAAAGAAAAAAGTACATGGATAAAAGTTACAGTGCAGTCTAAGATATGAATAGTTCAATTAAAAGCAGCGACAAAAAGAAAAGTCTTCAGCCTGGATTTAAAAGTAGTCAGAGTTGCAGCGGACCTGCAGGTTTCTGGGAGTTTGTTCCAGATATTGGAGCATAATAACTGAACGCTGCTTCTCCATGTTTAGTTCTGACTCTGGGGACAGAAAGCTGACCAGTCCCTGAAGACCTGAGAGATCTGGATGGTTCATAATTTAGCAGGAGGTCAGAAATGTATTTTGGGCCTAAACCATTCAGTGCTTTATAAACCAGCAGCAGTATTTTGAAATCTATTCAATATATTAGCCTACATTTTTTTTTAAAACCCCTAATTTAAGTATATTTTGATGCTAATACTTTAGTGCTTTTACTGAAGTAACCATTTGAATGAAGAACTGAGTACTTCTTCAAACACTGCCATTAAGTCAGTCTTCAAGGGTGCTAAATCAAAACAATTAAAATAGAGCGATGAATAATAAAGAAATAAAAACAGACCTGTACGTCCAAGTCGAGTCTGTAGTTGAGGTCTCCGCACCAGAAGAGATGGGAGAAGTGCAGGCTGAGGTCAAAGGCCCCGAGCTGTTTGTCCCCCAGAGAGAGCAGCCTGAGAATGTCCACAAAGTTCTGGTTCCTCCTGAACAGGACACACATCATAAGAGACAATTGTACTATTTTATGTAATACAAAGAAATTAAACGAGAGCACACACATTTAATGTTTGTCCACAATACCTTAGGACTTTCTCACTTCCAGAGGTCAGGTGGCAGTTAACAAACCCAAAAGATGTCCCGTTAAAGAGGAAAGACACACCGACTGCTCCCTTGTTTCCTGAAACAACAGAGACATTCGGTTAATATCACATTGTATTCTGTTAATCATGTACTTTTATTCCTGGCTGGCAGCACTGATACTGTACATTTCTGTGTTTGCTCCGAGTGTATTTGTACTTGTGAGATCATGCAGGGCAGTTTACCCAAAGTGTTTCCCAGGCCAGTCTTCACACTGGCCGTGTTCACATGGCTGATGCGACTCTCGTGCTCCGGCTTCACAAACACGGCCAGCCTCATGTTCCAGAGGGACTGTACTGCCACCTACAGGACAATGCTCCACATTACAATGAAGGACAGGAAACGTTTCCAACCAGTCAAATAAAACATCATTACTGACTTCTCAAAGGATGGGATCAATTTCTATAAAGTCAGCCTCCAAATCCAGTAGACACTGCCAGTGAAACATATATATACTCTCACATCATTCAAACAATCCCTCAAAACTCACCTTTTCACTCTTGCCTTCAACTCCTAATCAACTAACCCCTTGCCCTTATTCCTCCTAGCTTAGAACTTTCTACTTTTGTTGTTATTTTGTTTTACTTGCTTGTAAGCGCTTTGAGCACCAGGAAAAGCGCTTTATAAATGTAATGTATAATTATTATTATATTTATTACATATTTGTAATTAAAAAAATACCACCATATAAAATCTGTCGTTGAGGTGATATTTTCCAAGAATACTTAAAAATATCAAAAAAAATATCAAAACCGCTCATAATCCTTTCCTTTAGTTTCAGATGTTGCAAAAACATTTCATTTTAAGTGAACAATGTGGTTCACGCTTAATGCGCAAAATTGTCTTTCAGATGTAATATTTCAAGGTTAATCGTGGGGCTGGATTCCTTTTGAAAGGCTGAAGAATGTGTTTTTATCTTTTCACATGTACAAAACTAGAATGAATTAAGCACTGATTCACATAAGGTCAACATAATAGCAATCTCACACTAAAATATCAGGATTGACCCCACCATTGCAGAATGTATAACTTAATGCGGCAGTTTATATTGAAGAAAGCTAGCTCGTCCAACAGATTGCACAAATGAGAATAAATATTGTTAGAAAATCTTAACCCCATGATTTACCGTTCTCATTCATAACACTCCGTTCGATGTCTCACGATGGGATGCGCCTCAACGCGTATGCAAACAGAAGCATCAATCTCATTACGCCAATCCTGATTGGCTGGTGATCTTGACGTCAACGTCAGGGAATCCACCCACCCTTTAAGTAGCTTGCGCTACGTCGCAGCGTCATTCAAACACCTCTTCTTGCTTCAGAGCTCATCTCGAATATCAGTAGCCGGGCTAGCTTAACCGTCCACAGACTGAACCCAAGCTAACATTCGGTCGACGGGCGCTTGCCGGTTACTTTTTTGCTTTGCAGAAGAATTGAACAAATATTAACACACCAGTTAATATTGTAATCTGCCCCGCCGTTTTTTCTTTCGAAATAACGGTAAGGTTTGATTTTTTCTTCAAACAGTAACATACCTGTTGCTAGTTTATCCCTCCGCGCCGACACCACGGCGAGCAGGGACGGACTCTTCTCTCCCTCACACCAGAGGAGACGGAGATAAGAAAGATATTAACACACCAGTTAATATTTTTTGGAGAAAAAAATCTACCCCGTCGTTTTTTCCTTTCGGAATAACGATAAGGTTGGATTTATTTTCTCGTTAACATACCTGTTACTAGCTTGTCCCTCCGCGCCGACACCCCGGCAAACGAGGATGGACCCTTCTCTCCCTCACACCAGAGGAGTCGGAGGCTCGGCTCTGCGGCTGCGGGTTTAAGATCTCGAGCACGGACTCACACCAGGTCTGCTCGTCCTGCCTTGAGCTGGAACACTCCCAGGAAGCTATCGATACCCCCGGTTCGTGCGGGCATTGTGCTCGCTTCACCATCAAGAGCCTCCGCCGACGGCTAGCGCGCCAAGCTAGCCTGTCGGGACAGGACCCCTTCATGTCCGTTGATTCGCCGGCCGGCAATCGGGACATGGTGGCGACCGCCGCGGAGATTGAGCCCCGCGCTGTGTCAGGCTGGGGCTCAACAACGGCGGTAGCTGCGGAATCGGAGCCCCGCGCCGTGTCAGGCTGGGGCCCGGTGGCGGCAAGAGCCGCGAGAGCGGAGCCCCGCGCTGTGTCAAGCTGGGGCTCCCAACTGGACCTCACCGTGGTTCCACCCGCGGAGGATGTCCTACAGCTGGATTATATGGAGGATGCCTCTGAGTTCCTCTTATCCGACTCGGATGAGCACGAAGATGACATCTTCGTTTCATCTGCCCAGGCTGCCAAGCCGGAGGCGATGTCCGCTCCGCCGGGCGAAAGCACACCAGCTTCACCCTGCCTCAGTATGGACTTGCAGGCCGTGTGCCAACGCGCTGCGTCCAGGCTGGACATCCC